ATATGAAATTCTGACTGGCTAATTTGAATTTCACATAAATTCACATGGATTTCATTTTCACGCGCAACATTTACATAAAAAATTTATTATTATATATGTTGGAGATAAGAAGAATAAAATCACGAATTCAATAATTAATAAATTCCTTTATCTGTAATGATGATAATTGTCACCAATTAAATCCTATTAACTTATCTCAAAGAAACTGTTTATATTAATATTAATATGGACTGCATGCAAGTTAGAGATTTTCATTTGTTCCATGCATATTTTAATAAAAATGGAAGGGATGAAAGAAATGAAACACGCAACTTTATCCAATCATTATTTGTTCACGTTCGTTATTATGTATTCTATTTCATTCTATAACATTCTATGTATGTTTTATTTGGACAAAAAGTTATTATTGTTGCATCAATATCTATCGAATGACTTTGTAACAATCTCCTAAACGTTGAAATAAATTGACATGGATTTAGATAGACCGTATTGATGTACACTATATGCAGGCAGGCAGAATTATAATTAAAAATAGGCTGTTTATTTATCTATTATTAATTGTGTAATCTGGTCTACAATTCTCCATTTTTTTACTAAGCAAACAGGGTTTAACATTTTTGTCAATTATAAACTATATGTTATATTGAGTTTGTATGATGGACTATGCAGATCAAAACTAATTAACATCATATATAAAATTTAGTAATAAACTTTTTTTCGGCAATTATAAAAATAAAAATTGCATCTTCTCATTCAAAAAAAAGATACAACTATGAAATTAAGTGATATGATAATAAATGTAATAGTTCACATGGTGACATAGAGTTTTTTTTAATTTTATTAGTAAAATCATCCAAAATGTTAAAAAATACTGTTAAACTTTGAAACGTATAGTCTCAATAACCAAACAAGTTGGAGTAAAAAATTTTTCATAGTTTTTTTCTCTATGATTCAAAAAAATAGCCTGACAGATAGTTTTTTTAAAAATTATTAGTAAAAAAAAGTTTATTAAAGGATCAAAGATGTACGATTTTATTAATAAAAAATTTTTCGGTAATCATTTCCTTTTAAACATAAAGTATCTTTCATAATGATAAGAATCGTAAGAAAGTCTTTGTGTTTAATAAAATACCGAAGCCCGATAAAAGAAAAAGTCTAATTCATAATGCACATGCAGTCAAAAAAATGAAAACTAATTCCTCAGAACCTTTACTCCTTGTAGAATCTCCCGTAAGATTAATAGAAAATAATGTTATTTATTTTAAAAGTTTTATAATAAAACGCATAACTTTGAATTCTTATAAATCCTTAATCTACTAATGATTTTTAAAAAAACTCTCTGTCAGGTTATTCTTTGGATCACAGAAAAAAAAACTATGGAAATTTTTTTACTCTAACTTGTTTGGTTATTGAGACTATACGTTTCAAATTTTAACAGTATTTTTAACATTTTGGATGATTTTACTAATAAAATTAAAAAAACTCTCTGTCACCATATGGACTATTACATTTGTTATAAAATCACTTAATTTTATAGTTGTATCTTTTTTTTTGAATGAGAAGATGCAATTTTTATTTTTATAATTGTTGAAAAAAAGTTTATTAGTAAATTTATATATATATATGATGTTTTGATCTACATTAGACACCCAAATGCCTTTATTCACTATAGTAATAGAGAGAGACGTTCACCATAGAGCGAAACAAAAGAGAAGTTTGTTATAATGGGGTTTACTTAGTGTTTGTTATACAAAAGTCTGTTAGGTGGAGCGAATGTGGTCTTTTCTCGGAATAATGGATTTTTTTATGTGATTACGATGGTATAAGGAATAATAATAATAATAAATTTTTATAACCTTTTTGTTTGATTTTGTCATGTAATAAATTACTCAGTTGTAAGCCAAATCCCTTATATGAAGTGAAAAGAAAGAGATTTGGCCAATTTAATTGGTAAAAGAATAAAAATGGTTTGAAAGATTTATATACAAAAAATATGCACTACAGATCACAAGATTATATAATATTAATTATTATGATTTATACAGGAGATTTTAAATAATCTCGAACCATGAATTTGTTTGAAATTCTGATTTATAGATAATTTAATAAGTTGGATCAAGGAGTTTTCATTTGTTTAATAAAGTATAATTTTTAATTTTTACATAATAGTTAATACATAGTTAATGTAATAGTTAATGCGTATACTTTTAATACATAATTAATACATATAATAGTTAATACATAGTTAATGCGCATAATAATAAATATACATATGTAAACTCGATAAGTCGGTCATGTGGGGTGAGATCATATGACCGACTTATAGAGTAAATCGAATTAAATTACTTAACGTTAAATATTAAGAAAAAGGGGTGAAAATTTTGGCTGACTTATCGCGAGACCGACTTAGCGAGTTTATATATGTAATATTATAATATTACAATAATTCTTTGGTTTCTAGCATTATTCGGTGCTTGCTAAAAATGATAATAAAATTAATATACTGTATGCAACAAAACTCAATCAATTATAAATAAAATTACCTTCAAGATTTATATTTCTTGTCAAAACTTATTGCCGCCAATATAATCAAATTGGACCGGATTATTATTGTTGTTGTTGTTGTTGTTGTTGTTGTTGTTGTTGTTGTTGTTGTTGTTGTTGTTGTTGTTGTTGTTATTATTATTATTATTTTCAAATAAACCTGGATCTCCATCAAAAAAATTTTCAACATTTAGATCAACTGCTGTTGTTGTGTTGACAACAGTGGTTATAGCTGGAATAGCATTTATTGTAACAACTGCAAGGTTCCTTGTATTCATTTTTCAATAATTAGTTTGAATTAAAAAATTTTACAAGCAAAATTTTTAAAATTTTATTTATTCTTGTAGGAATATAACACACACACATATTTATATGTGCGTAAACAATGAGAATTCTTAAAAACCAAGTTTGAATATTTCTTATTATATATATAAAATGGAGTTAAAATAGAAGGATGCCAATGTTTTCTTAAAATTTTTTTTTATTCCTTTTCATTCACCGATTTCCAAAAGCTCAAAGTGAACAAATATGATTATTATTATCTATGGTTTTATTTGTAATAATTAATGTATATCTACATCATATTTATCCGATAATTCAAAAACCCGAAACAATAATATCAACCCAACAACAATAATAATGCTAATAAGAATGGCAATAATAATTTATAAATAGTAGAATTGTCAAATTTGGTAACAAGATTTCAGTAATATTAAATTCATGTTTCAAATTTCATGCGCATGATGCGCATTTTATGCATTCTTTCCATGCGCATGTCACACTCTATCTACGTATAGGTTTCTTATGGTATAGTAACAATTCAAAATACTAAAAGTATACATCCATCCCAAACTGGTTTGGTAATTTTGATGGTCATCGCAGGATAAATATTTTGCCTGTCACCTAATATTAATATGTTGTAAATGAAAAAAATTTTGTTACATGAAATTTTACTTAATCTCGATTTTGGAATTTTCAAAATGCCAAGGTAATTTTTAGTTTAAGAAAAAACTAGCCAATAAGTTTTGAAGCTTAAGTCATGAACAATAAAATTTATCGGTTAACTTTTTTAAAACGATATAAAAATCTTTAGCTATACATGCTTTGACACTGTCATAAAGTGGTTACACATGTCGTACGTAAGGGGATGTTATGTTTTTAATAGTGACTGCCATAATTAATTTCTACTTTCTACCATCAAAATTGGACAAACAGATAAAAGTTTTTGAATTATCTGCAAATTACATAACTCTCAAATTTAAAAAATCCACGAGCAAATTTTTTTACATGAATTGAAGCTGAATTTAGTTGATTTTTTAAAATCCAAAAAGTGGATCCGCACTGTATTATTTTCCGGTTACATGTTATAAATTTTAGATTAAAATTTTACTTTATTATTATTTTATTTGAATTATTCGTTTTATTCAAATTATTCGTTTTATTCAAATTATTCGTTTGTTCGTTCGTTTGTTTTATTTGTTTTATTTGTTTTATTCGAATTATTCGTTTTACAAAATATAAAATATTAATTCAACAAATTCTATACTGTGATTGTAAACTTATAAATAAGGTCTTATTTCCTTTAACAAGATACATACTACTACTATGATTACCAGTACTATGGCTTAAGAAAATAAAATAAAAAGGTCAATTACTTCTGATACTATTATTTATTATTATTATCACTATATACAAGGACTACAAAGGAAAAATAGATTGATAAAGAAAATTTTTTAATTGGATTGGATTAGCAATGTGAATATATTATTTTATTCAATTGTTTTATTCGAATAACTTTCAATGTAATCCGAGTGCTTGAATTCATAATAATAATAATAATAACAATAATAATAATAATAATAATAAATAAATGAATAATTCGAATAAACCTTATTCAATATATTTTTTGAATAAAATTTTCCCAGACTGAGAATTTCCCCAATATTTTTGATTACACATTTCACATCCTGCTCACGCCTCCCGTAATTAAAACTATCACACATATCAACACATATTAAACATAGTAATTTTTATTCTAGCATATATTGTGGATATTATTTATAACAAATAATAAGTGCTTTAATAAAAAAAAAAAGGATTTTGATAATAATCAAAAGAATAAAAAGATAATGACCAATATATTTATATTAAGTATAAGAAAACTATGCTTTAGGCAGAAAATTTATTGTTTAAGTATAGTTCGAGTCATCTAAAACCGACCAATTTTGTGCGGTATTTTTGAAGCCTATCACGTGGACACACAGAGCACTTTTGAGATTCAAACTCTTCATAGTTTTATATAATAAATGCCAAAGAATAATTCTATGAAAAGTTTTGGAGTTGAACAATTATAATTAAAAAGTTATGGCAATTTTAATTTGAGTGACTATCTATTGTAAATAATTGATGGACGAACCATTAACAAGCTTGCCATTTGTTCATTTCTTCTATTGAGTATGCCATCACTTACAAAAAGGCAGAAACATTTAAAAAATTTGTCTCTAAGAAAAAAAAACTTTTCGAAAGTTGTTCTTCATAATAATGAGAATAAAAATAAAAATGAAAATGAAAATGATAATGATAATGAAGGTAATGAATCAAGTAACACCAGTGATAATGAATCAATTAATAAAAATGATAATGAACCAAGTAACGAATCAATTAATGAAAACAATAATGAATCAAATAACGAATCAAATAATGAAAGTAATGATGAGTCAAATAGTGATAGTGATAGTGAAGTAAGTTGGGATACAGATTTAGATTCTAATTGCAGTTATTTTGTGAAAGTCCTTCAAAATGGAATAAATAATTATAAGCCTTCTACACGTCGTTCTCTCTACTAGCCTGTTGTCTGACGGTTGCGGCAGCTAATATACTTTGCCATTGGGAATGCACTACAAACTAGGCGATTTCATGCTTCACAATATAAAAAAACATCTGAAGATAATGGACAAATGATTTACAAAAAATTGTTCCCGAGACTTTCTCTTGAAAAAATTAGAAAATTTGCAAATAAATCTTTTAAATATATGGAATGTTATAGACAAGGATTAGATGCAAAACAGGCTGAATATTCCTTAAAAAAATACAAACGTCATCGTATTATTCCAAGTAATATTTTAAATAATTTAGATTAGTATTAAATTTTTTAATAAAGTTAATTTCAGTGTAACATAATTTGGAATTTTGCCGCCGATCGACAAAGTGGCCGGCTTTAGACGACTCAAGCTGTACAAAAAAAAATTTTTTTGATTTATGGTGTGCATTTAAAAAAAATTAATATATTGTATCGTTATTAAAAAAAAAATTATGCATGTTAAAAAGGTATGAGGGGGTGTGCATATTATTTTTCATAAAAATATTTAACTTTATCAATTCCAACCACTCTAAATGTCAATTTATTTTGATAATGTAACTGTTGGACATTCACAAAGTCAAATATTAATGATGTTTGTCAGATTTGTAATCATTTAGAAAGTATTCCCCACGTTCAAGAACTGCAAACATTTAATACTAATGTTAGCCAGTTGAATGCATTTTCACAAATTAAAAATCATATCAATGAATTGCTTAATTATGCTCAACCACATCAATATGGTGAACCTGCAACTGAAACATTAAAACACGATACTTATCAACCTTTTAGTAATAAAATCAAAAACTAGTTTCAACGAGTCTAGCAACAACCATAAGAATATTTGTTTCATGATAATTTGTATAAATATATGTATGATGTGGTACAGAATAATAAGTAATGTTGGCAGCAGATATTTTAAACATACATACACAAATGTTTTTTTATAACTATAAAAATTTAGTTAAAACTATTTTATTAAGAAAATTATTTTCCTGATGAAACCAATTCAATCATTTGTTCAAGTATTGAATCTGAATTTGAAACTCTGGAAAAAAAATTTTTGAACATTTTACAAACCGCTGACTTTTTCCCTCCTCAACCAGGATCAATGGTTATATTTTACAAGTATGTAAATCTTTTTTTATTTCTATAAAATTGAGAAGCAAATTAAAGGAAAATACTAAATTTATATATATTATTAATTTTTTAGAGTAGCTGGTTCTAATAAAAAGTTGTATATTGGTACAATTAACAAACCAAATGATATTAATTCTTTACTATGGTTGGCTCGGTGTAAAGACCTCCTATTACTGCACCGCGCGCTCAAACTTCAAAAATAGCAATTTCGTGATTCGTTCAAATATCCAATGAAATTTTTTACCAATAATAGTAAAGTACATGTTTTAAAAAAGAATAGAACTCTACAACAAATAATTTTTTTGGGAAAATCTCTATTATATTAAAACTAAAGTCCTATTATATCAACTAACAGAGCAATTTTTTTAAAGGGTAGAACAGAAAGTGACTTCTATACCTTTAAATTTGCGCAAAATTCAGGAGATCTTCAACTATATATATGTGAAGCAAAAATTTTAAAAATTTGTTGTAACGCGAATTTAATTATAATTCGCAAGGTTTGACTCTACTATTTATTAATCATTAATCATTAAACTTATTTTGCTATAAATATTTGTGGCCTTATTTATTTTATAGTCGTGAGAAAAGATTTGTAACAGAAAAGATCATCTTTGCTACTGATCTACATAATAAAATTTACGCGTTTTTTTTTATTAAAGTGCCAACTCAATATCGTCACGCTACCATTACACGATCAAGATGATTTTTTTTTCTTAAGAATCGAAAAGGTAATAGTTTGCTAAGATTTTCCCTCGTTAATTTATTGAAAAACAATAGTTCTTAAAATATAACGATTTTATCTTAGTATAACGATGACATGCATTTGTCTTTTCACGATAACAAAAAAAAATAGAGATTGATTTTTTCTTATCCTTCTTGTAAATAATTAATAAATTCATATTGGTCTCAACTCAACACGGAAGACAGCAGATGAAACCAAGTTAAAAGACCAGCAAGAAAAAAACAGAAGGCTATCAGGTGTCTCTGGAAGTAGAAAAGTTTTATAAATACATTCATTGTAAGTCAATTTTTTACACACATCTCTCGAAAATAGAATATTCCTTCCCCAAAAATTAAATTTAATAAAAGATTGGATTTTTTCAACATCTTCTCAGCTCGATATCAACATGCCGTGTTGACTTCTCTCTTCCCTTCTTGATCACATCATGATCAATAGAGACTATATTTATACAACACAACCATTTTTGTGAAACTGCAAATTCCTTTTTATAGATAAAAGACATTAATCATTTAAAAAAATCAACAATAAGTGATTGGATTTATTTTTTTGTTTTCTTACGTTAAAAACATAATCGCGGATTATTTTTTTTTTATTTGTTTAAAAAAGATTTAGTTGACAACAATCAAGTTTTTGATTATTTTTGTTTGAATGAATTCATCTAACCGCATATGATCAAAGTTTCATTTAGTTCAGATTCTTTCTTAAACAAAATAATACAAAATCTTTTTTATTTTGATTTGTGTTCAAAGAATTCATTTTTTACAAAATGTTATCTATTATATCCTTAGTTGTATTTATCAAGAGTGTAAGCGGAGAGGAGGTCTATACAGGCATTACTCACAATAGTAAGTAATGATAATGTTGAGGCCACATTTTAAACATTACTAAAATAAACATCCAGAAAACATTGAAATTAACGGTATGCATGTCTCAATGTATCAATTTTCACTACAAAACGGTTCATAAGACCCAAGGCCTAATATTAACATATGCGACTTTGACAGCAGATAAAATCACGTTTGCAATGATTAGGGCTCTTGGAATTCTTTTTGTTTGATTTTAGGCAGCAGTAGATAAGGATATTTATTGTAGCTGAAGATAGAAGGTTGAATTCTTTGCACAGAACGACCTAAAAGAAATACCTCTACGTTAGTAGTAATAGTAAATATCACATATTTTGATTTCATGCAATGCAGTGCACATTTGTTTATATATAAAAGGCTCACCTTGCGTTCTCATTCGTAAACTTGTTTAAATATTTAACTAAATATTCACGAGCTGAAACCATTGTGAAAATTTTGAAAAACACAAGTTTTAAAAATAGATATTTAAGCGATATGCATTATTCTTTAAAAAAATGCAAGAAATTATGCAAACATTTTTCTGGACACCCCAATGAAAGTATCTCCCAAGTTATTATTATTTTCCTCAATCATTGGGAGTTGAAACTTTGTCGACCTCACACCAAGTAAGTATAATCTAGTTTGCCCAAAATTTAGTACTATTCGACTTTTATGCCCTTATCGTGCTTTTTTCCAGTCAGAGAATAGAGTGGTGGAAGAACCAGCTTCTTGCCTTGAGGGTAATAGAGTATAGATATTATAAATAATTCCTTTCAATCATTAACATTGTTGGCTATCTTAAACTATTAAACGATCCTGAAGTATGAAGTGTTATACGTATCAGAGAAAATGGAAAAAAGAAATTTAATAATAAAATATTTTGAATCATTAATATATTGAATGAATCTACAAGATTTCAAGATTTATATCAAGATTAATATATGTCACAATATTATATAATTCACAAGAAGGTTGTTAATTATTAATTATCATTATTTGTGTAGGAGATTTTAAATAGCCATGAATCTTGGATTGAAATTTTGAGTTACAGAAAAAAGTTGAATAAAATTGTTGCTATTATATTTATTTTTCATATTCTTGATTTTATTTTATTAAAGGAAAATTTTAATTTTAACATATATACATAATTATTATAATATTTATATACATAATATTTTTTTTTTTTATGAAATTTATGTTATTTTAAAGTTATCAACCAGCGACTTTTTTTACTGCCATTGTTGAATATCTTCGATGCGTGAATGATGATGAACTAGACTACAGCAGCAAATTTTTTTTTTGTTTGTATGCTATATTAAAACGTGGCATATATATAATAAATGGCTTAATTTTTTTAGTTTCGGCCAAAATTCATCTGGTTCCCCTCTGTAAAATTAAACGATTCGCTTGGATTATTATTATTTTGATTGTTGAAAAAACCCGGTGTCCCACTAATTATTTGTTGGGAGAATGAATCAACGACAGCCATCCTCGCTGGAGGATTAATGTTGTTAACAATCATCGGAGGATTATTTGTATTTGCAACTTGATTGACATTTGCTGGAACTGGAGGGGGGATACCGGCATTAGTATTGGTATTAGTACTATTTGAAGTCATATTTAATTATTATTTAAATTTTTATTTTTTAAAAAGATAATAAGATACATCATTTTTATAGACATTGTCTGTATTTTAGATAAAGATGGAAAAATAAATATTATACGAAGAGCAAATTTGCGAAACAAATATGCCACGAAATAGGATTGATTTATTAACAAAGGCTTTTTTTTTTTACAATCATTGTCCAAAATCATAAATTAAAAAAAAAGTAGAGTATTTCTTTAATTGGAAAATGCTATTGAAAAAAGATTTAGATTTTTTTTGACATACATAATGGTCAAGTTCATTCATCATTTATGCGGGTTATGTAATCTGAGTATTACCCTAAATGTACACATAGCAAGTACAAAAGTTCCCGTGATTTTTTTTTTTGGAAATTTTTTAAAAAATCGTTTCCAATTTGGGGATGGGGCGGAGGAAACTCCCTATCACTAACATCACTACTGTTACACCATTGCTATTTAGTCGCGTCGAGCTGGAAATGCTGGAAATAACAGAGGATATAACAAGGCAAGAGGGGTTTCCTATTTTTTCACAAAAAAAAAATCTTCGGTTTATCTACAAAATTGAATATCATAAAAAAAGAAATATATATATCTGATATTAAAAATTTTTTTTTTAATGAAATCAAATTTTGTTTCTTTGAATTCATTCATGTATTCATATGGGAGGATTCGACGCACTTAAATAAGTAAATAAGATGATTACATGCAAATAACCGTGATAACTCGATTAATTTCATCCATTTATTTTCTTTCTTTGCTGCCATAATTTAAATTGCATAACTTTCTAAAGGGGCTGGATAAAGCAAAATTTTTATTAAAAAAGTAAAAAATATTAATTCACTCTCTATAACAAACATTCTTGTCATATAAGTATTTTTTGTGCCTTTTATTCACTATAGTAATAGAGAGAGGTGTTAGACATAGAAAGAAACAAAAGAGAAGTTTGTTGTAATGGGGTTTATTTAGAGTTTGTTATAGAATGGTCTGTTATAAAGGGTGAAATGTAGAATAATATATTTTTTAGGGTTGTTATATGATAAGGATAATATGTTTTTTTGTTTGATTTTGTCATGTAATAATAAATTACTCAATATTCAATCCATATGAAGTGAAAAGAATAAAATGTTTTGAATCATTAATATATGAATGAATCCACAATATTTCAAGTTTTATATACTTTTTCCATTAAATATCCCTCTTATTGGCTGGCATGATCCAAATAAGTAATAGTTACTAGGCACGAAGTGCCTAGTATTTTGAGTCATGTAAATGACGTCAGTTACTAGGTGCTAAGTGACTAGTTGCTTATTTATCACGCGTTTCCTAT